AGTTTGTGCCGAACCACGTAAATCTTACGTGTCCTCTTTTTTGCGCATTTATTTCGCTTTCTCTTAAATCTGATAATAGGAAAATGAGAGTAATTTCCCAACAACTGGTACTAGTATTTTATTAGTTGTGGGGCCTTTTGTGGGGCCGGCCCACCTTTTTTTTCTTTAAAAATTTCGGCACCGATTATTCTTTGTCAAAGATATCATGCCCCTGATTCCCATTTGTCAACAAATTGCTCATTTGTCAACATTTGCAGCACCCCCCTCTTTGCTTTCGGTGTCTTTGTTGACGAGGAAAAAAGTAGGGTGGTTTCTAGTGGCTACCTTTCTTGACTAACAATCTCCCACTTAAAGACTGATTTCAATCTGTTTTCATAACTCGATCTGTGCAGCAGCTCTTTCCTGTCTTGATACTATTGCAGGCCAACTGAAGCTGAACACAGCTTCAGTTTGTCAGTAGTCACCGTCTTTGTCAGCATGTCTGTCGGATTTTGAACTTCACTGATCTTTTCAAGCTTCAAAATTTCATCTTCCAGAAGTGATCGGAAAAAATGATACTGTATCTGTATGTGTTTCGTTCTGGAATGAAAAGACGGATTCTTCGCTAGATGAATAGCACTTTAACTATCGTAATATAAGACATTGTCTTCTTGTTTCTTGTCTAATTCATCCAAGAAACTTTGAAGCCAAATCATTTTCTTGCTGGCTTCTGTTACAGCGACATATTCTGCTTCAGATGTGGAGAAAGCAACTATCTTCTGCAGTTGTGAAACTCAACTCACTGCAGTACCACCTAGAGTATAGACATACCATGTAGTGCTTTTTTTGTGGTCAACATTTCCTGCTAAATCAGCATCCACATAATCTGTTAGTATTGTATATCCACCATTGAAACAAAGTGTTTTACCTGTGGTGCCCCATAGATATCTGAGGATCTATTTGACTGTTTTCCAATGTACCTTACCCGGATCATTCATGTACTTGCTAACAGCTCCCAATGCTTGAGCAATATCTGGTTTTGTACAAACCATGGTTTACATCAGACTTCCAATTGCTTAGGCGTACGAGACCTTCGTCATGTGTGCACGCTCTTCTATTTGACTGTTTTCCAATGTACCTTACCCGGATTATTCATGTACTTGCTAACAGCTCCCAATGCTTGAGCAATATCTGGTTTTGTACAAACCATGGTTTACATCAGACTTCCAATTGCTGAGGCGTACGGGACCTTCGCCTTGTGTGCACGCTCTTCCTCTGTCTTCAGTGACTGTTCTTTGGAAAGTCTGAAATGAACACCTAAAGGTGTACTCACTGGTTTAGCATCTTGCATATTAAATCTGGAGAGTACTTTGTTGATGTACTCAGCATGTGATAATATCAAAGCCTCAGACTTCGTGTCTCTCTTGATCCTCATTCCAAGAATCTGTTTTACAGCGCCAAGATCTTTCATTACGAACCGCTTTGATAATTTTTGCTTCAAATTTATAATCTTTTGCAGATCTGATCTTGCAACGAGCATGTCATCAACGTATAACAATAAAATAATGAAGCTATTGTTAAACCTCTCGAGATGCAACAATAATCTGCTTGGCATCTAGTGAAACCGTTGCTATCCATAAAGCTATTAAACTTCTTGTACTATATGAGCGAGAAAGGGATGAAGACACTTCTGTCAAAAGGAAAGTTGTCGGATCTGAAGATTGTAGATGTCGACCTATGCGAGGATTGCATCTTTGACAAACAGAAGAAAGTCAGTTTTGCAAAGATTGGCAAGACACCTAAGACAGAAAGGTTAGAATTGGTTCATACCGATGTATAGGGACCATCTCCAGTTTCATCTCTTGCAGGCTCACTGCACTATGCCATCTTCATTGATGATTCTACAAGGAAGGTATGGGTCTATTTTCTGAAGAAGAAATCAAAAGTCTTTGATACCTTCAGAAAATGGAAGACCATGGTGGAAAATGAAACTGGTTTGAAGATAAAGCGATTGAGGTCAGACAATGGAGGAGAGTACAAAGACAGTTCAAAGAGTTTTGCGCAAACAGCGGGATCAAGATGGAAAAAACAGTTCCCATGACACCGCAGCAGAATGGCGTAGCGGAGCGTATGAACAGAACTTTGAATGAACGTGTTAGAAGCCTGAGGTTACATACTGGCTTGCCTAAGTTTCTATAGGTTGAAGCTATCAATACCACAGCCTACCTAATCAACCGCGGACCCTCAGTTCCCTTGGATGGTGGAATACCAGAAGAAGCTTGAAGCAGAAAAGAGGTAAATCTTTCACATTTAAGAATTTTTGGTTGTATCTCTTATGTACACATAGATTCTGCTAAAAGAAGTAAACTTGATGTCAAATCTAACAAATGTGTTTTTGTTGGTTATGGTGGTGATGAGTTTGGTTACCGATTTTGGGATTATGAAAATCGGAAGATCATCAGAAGCAGAGATGTCATATTCAATGAGAATGTGATGTACAAAGACAGATCAACTGCAGAATCAAGTAGCTCCAGTACAAAAGCTGAAATAAAGGAATTTGCTGAATTAGAGGGGATTTCTGAAAATGATGTTCAGAACAATCTTGAAGAAGTTCAAGAAGAACCAAGCACGCTAGAAGTGAGACGCTCCTCCAGAATTCCTAAGCCAACTCAGCGTTATTCGTCTTCTTTGCACTACCTGTTGCTGACTGACAGTGGTGAATCGGAGTGTTATGATGAAGCAATGCAGGTGAAGGATTCAGTCAAGTGAGAGTCTGCTATACATTATGAGATAGACTCGCTCATGTCAAATCAGACGTGGGACTTAGCTGAATTACCACCAGGTACGAAAGCTCTTCATAATAAGTGGATTTACAGGATCAAAGAAGAATATGATGGGAACAAGCGCTACAATGCAAGGTTGGTTGTCAAAGGCTTTCAGCAAAAAAAAGGTATAGACTACAATGAAATTTTCTCTCCGGTCGTAAAACTGACTATAATCAAACTGGTGTTGAAAATTGTAGTTGCTGAGAATTTACATCTTGAGCAGTTAGATGTAAAAATAGCTTTCCTTCATGGTGATTTAGAGGAGGAGATTTATATGAAGCAAGCAGAAGGCTTCATAAAGACAGGCAAGAAAAATCTAGTATGCCGGTTGAAAAAGAGCTTGTATGGATTAAAATAAGCTCCCAGACAGTGGTACAAGAAGTTTAACAGCTTTATGGGCAACAACGGTTTCACTAGATGCCAAGCAGATCATTGTTGCTATATCAAGAGGTTTGACAATAGCTTTATTATTTTATTATTATACGTTGATGACATGCTCGTTGCGGGGTCATATCTGCAAGAGATTATAAATTTGAAGCAAAAATTATCGAAGCAGTTTGCAATGAAAGATCTTGGCATTACAAAGCAGATTCTTGGAATGAGGATCAAGAGAGACACGAAGTCTGGGACTTTGATGTTATCACAGGCTGAGTACATCAACAAAGTACTCTCCAGGTTTAATATGCAAGATGCTAAACCAGTGAGTACACCTTTAGGTGTTCATTTTAGACTTTCCAAAGAGCAGTCACCGAAGACAGAGAAAGCTTGTACGCCTCAGCAATTAAAAGTTTGATGTATGCCATGGTTTGTACAAAACCAGATATTGCTCAAGCAGTAGGAGCTGTTAGCAAATACATGAATGATTCAGGTACACTGGGAAGCAGTCAAATGGATCCTCAGATATCTACGGGGCACCACAGGTAAAGCACTTTGTTTCAAAACACTGGGAAGCAGTCAAATGGATCCTCAGATATCTACGGGGCACCACAGGTAAAGCACTTTGTTTCAAATGTGGAGATACAACACTAACAGGTTATGTGGATGCTGATTTAGTAGGAAATGTTGACCACAGAAAGAGCACTACAGGGTATGTCTATACTCTAGGAGGTACTGCAGTGAGTTGGGTTTCATAACTGCAGCAGATAGTTGCTCTCTCCCCAACTGAAACAGAATATGTCGCTGTTACAGAAGCCAGCAAGGAAATGGTTTCACTTCAAAGTTTCTTGGATGAATTAGGCAAGAAACAAGAAGACAATGTCTTATATTGCGATAATCAAAGTGTTATTCATCTAGCAAAGAATTCGTTTTTTCATTCCAGAACGAAGCACATACAGATGCGGTATCATTTTATCCGGTCACTTCTGGAAGATGGAATTTTGAAGCTTGAAAAGATTAGTGGAGCTTAAAATCCGGCAAACATGCTGACAAAGACGGTGACTACTGACAAACTGAAGCTGTGTTCAGCTTTAGTTGGCCTGCAATAGTATCAAGACGGGAAAGAGCTGCTGCACAGATCGAGATGTAAGATAGATTGAAATCAGTCTTCAAGTGGGAGATTGTTAGTCAAAAAAGGTAGCCACTAGAAGCCACCCCACTTTTTTCCTCGTCAACAAAGACACCGAAAGCAAAGAGGGGGGGTGCTGCAAATGTTGACAAATGAACAATTTGTTGACAAATGGAAATCAGGGGCTTGATATCTTTGACAAAGAATAATCGGTGTCGAAATTTTTGAAGAAAAAAAAGGTGGGCGGGCCCAACAACTAATAAAATACTAGTGCATAGTGTTTTCCCAAACACTATAAATAGGCCCCAAACTTTTAAGAAAAAACTCATCCCAGAAACTCCTCCTCTTATAGAAGAGCAAGAGAGAGAAGAGAGAGGTTTAGAGAAAAGTTTTTGTGAGAGAAAATTGTGAGGTGGCTTCTAGTGGCTACCTTTTTTGACTAACAGTTCTGTTGTGTTGGATATGAAGCAAAAATGCCGGAAATTTGATTTTTGTTAGTTGGTCTTGAAAATTAGAGGTTGTAAAAGGTGTACATAACTTTGACTTTAATTTTATTCTAGTATTTATTTGTGTTTTATATGGAAATTGTGTTTAGTGATTTTGATGTCATTTTGTATTGCTGATAAAAGTATGTTTGAGAATCCTTTCATGTTTTCTTAAGAAACTAAACCTAGTTCATTTTACTGTTACAGGTTATTTTGTTTCCTTTTATCTTCACAGTGCATCAGCAGCTAATTTGATGGCAACACCTTTGGATATGTCATTGGATGATATGATTAAGAACAGAGGTTCTGGTGAAAGAGGGAGAGGGCATGGCCGGGGGCGGGGCCGTGGACGGGCCCGTGGACGAGGTGGGGCCACTCGTGGGAGGGGAGTAGGTATGGCTCGTCAAGGGCCTCTTGGAGTAAATGCTCGGCCATCACCTTACAAGATTGCCAAGGCAAGCCCGAAATCTATTGCTGTTTTTTGAATGCATTCAGGAATCTGAATTATTTTAGAAATTCAATTATGGAGGGATGATATATAAGTTCTTTTTGAATTTGGAGAGGCTCAAGCACCCAAATAGGAGGTCCTGCCTTTGGTGCTTGCCTTTGGTGCTTATACATTTTTAATGGCTGATAAAATGGGGGAAATTCAAGGGGTACTATTGCTAAATGCGGAATCTCATCATTGCTGGCCTTCATTTATTATGCTGAACTTGTTCACGGAGTATATTTGCTAAGGAGCTTACCGGGTCATTCTGGGAACTGGAGCTCTCACCAATTTCTTATCGTCAGCATATGTGTAATGGGTGGAATTCTCGACTTCCATTTGTTAACTGTATGCTTTATTATCACCAGATATAGGCTTATTTTCATCCTAAAGAATATTAATGTGGTAGTGGTAGGTTTTTCTTTAGTTTTTGAGCAGATGCACTGAGTCTCGTTGGTTGATCGGTACTACGGTTCTACGCTAACCATTTCTTTTCCGTTCTGAACCTTTGTTGCATATTTTTTTATCAGTCTTTCAGCAGAACAAAGGACAATATATGGAGACATGATTTGTTTGATGAAAGCATGAAAGCTGCTGGTCTTACTGGAGTCGAAACTGGTACAAAATTGTACATATCAAATTTGGATTATGGGGTGTCCAATGAAGATATAAAGGTGCTTTTTCTGCTTTAGCTGCCCTCTATATTTCTCCATTATTTATGCTCGTGCTGATATATATTCCTCTGTGGGTTTAGGAACTTTTTTCTGAGATCGGTACTCTTAAGCGGTCTGCAGTTCATTATGACAGAAATGGGCGCCCTAGTGTGAGCTTCTGTTTCCTATCGTATAGCAACATGGACATTATTTCTTTCCCTTGCTTTAGTTGTTTTAAGCTAGTAATTGACTGAATCATATTATTCTTTCTTGTATCTGGTCACCTGTATAAGATTGTATAGAATTGAATATAATAATAATCAACAACCTTCCTAAAGTAGAAAATGTGGATGGTTTTCGACTCTTTTTCATTTTGAAGTGATTGTCAGAAATTTAGATATGATATATTGTTCATAAGATAATGAATACTGTGAAGCAGAAGCTCAACACTTTCCTGGTAGGCAAACCTGGCCAAGCTATATTTGTACTCATGTTGCATAATATCTTTCCTCTTGGCAGGGTTCGGCAGAAGTGGTGTTTGCTAGGAGAAGTGATGCAATGGCTGCCATGAAACGTTACAACAATGTTCAGCTGGATGGAAAAGCTATGAAAATCGAAATCATTGGCACTAATCTTGGGTTACCAGTTACCCCTCGCATTAATGTGGTTGGTGGTGCAAATGGGAGAGGAAGGAGGACAGTCGTTATGACGTATGCAGTTCTTTCCCGTTGTTTTCTGGGTTTCTTTCCCATCTTTTCAATGATTAGCTAGTCTTCCTTGAATAACGGTTGCTAAATTGGATATACTCAGAAATAATAGTATGTTGAGGACCTAGATATGATTAATTTTTTAAGTAGTCCAATCCTGAATTGACTCATATAGGCAGTCACTGCTTTCCAGTATTTTTCTTGAGTTGCTAACTACCATGTTACTTCTCCCTATCCATTCTAATTCTTTTAGATTCTTTCTTATGGAGTACCTTCTTTCTTAGTTATCAATATAAGAAGCTTTGTCCTTTTTTGTTGGGATAGGTCTTCCTGAAATGTTTTAATGCCTTTTACTTTTTAACCTGTGGAGTGTGGACCATATGTACCATTTTAATGTTCTTTTTAGGATAATATGCCACTTAGGTTTTTAATGGTTGGATGTAGGTATGCCTTCTGGTGGCAAATGTTAACTGTTTTTTTTTTCAGTATCTTATTATTATTATTATTTTCGTTAGATGTAGATAGTAAGAGTATATTGGAGTTGAGGATAAATATTTTGTAGTAGAGGAGGCAACAAAATATTGAGGAGAAAACCTCTTGTCTTTGCCAAAATCTTTTAAACCTGTTCTAAACATGTTTATTGTTTCTTGGAACTAAAATTTTTATGCAAGCTTTACCACATTGTTAACATTATTTTTTATTATCGATAAGTTTGTAACATTGTGCTCCATCATATAATCTTCTTTATCAAATTTGTTTTTTTATTTACAATCTAAAATAAGGTCAATAGAAAAAATATATTGTTTTATTCATATTAGATAATATATTTGATGAGCACATATATATGTAAAACAATTTAGATGACGTAGATATCAGATTTGACATTAATATAGTGTTTGTTTATATCCTTTTCTGGGACCACACCATTATGGGCACGATCCAGCTATTCTACCTTTTATCATTTCCATGATTCTGTGGTGTTCATTTCACTCCATCTGCTTGCTGTAATCGGATGTGGGTTGCCTCAATTGTTGGTATCATCAGTAGGTAGGTTCAAGAAAATGAAAGCACCTAACTGCAGATTATATGTCTTCTGATTCGTGTGTTGATGTTCTTTATTTTTTATTTTACTTAACGGGTGATATGTCTTCTGATTTGTGTGTTGATGTTCTTTATTTTTTATTTTACTTAACGGGTGATGTGGTGGATACATAGCTGTTATGCTCTTGTTTTGCTTTGTCTAATCTAATTACTATAGAGAATTCCTTACCATTATATTTGTATTAACATCACATGACAACATTTCTGATATTTTGAGATTTTTCAGGCCGGAGTTTGGTCAAGGTGGTACAAGGCCCTTCAAGCGCACACCAAGGTGAGTTCATGTAGACTGTTTTTGTTTCCAGTACTGCTTAAATTTATCTCTTGGATTCAGCTCTTTCCTATTGCACACAAACACTGATCTAGAAGCACATATATGCATGTACCGATTTTATCTCTTTGCTTAAGCCCCTATCTCTTGGCATGTGGAAGTGATTTGCCACAAGTTCTTGTGTTTTATCTAATGAATCATCAGGCTAATGGATAAGTTAGTGTAATTTCATCTTTATAGGCTATAATGGTTCTTGTCTGCGTTCATTTCTAAATATAGAACCAATGTTGGAAGAACACAGAGTCTTGGTTTATGTTATGTCCATGAACTGTATATCGACTGCTTGCCATTTCCTCTCTTATCACTATATCTCTTGGTGGTTCTTACATGTTTTTCCTTCTTCTTTTTTTTGGCGATTCACATGCATTAGTTGATGTTCTATTTAGAAACTATGATGTGCTTTCCCTTGGAATCCCAATTTTACGAGGCCCGTTTTTCCAGCTATGGGAAGGCATCAAATGTCTATATTTCGTGCATGAAAAGATGGATTTTATGGTCCCATTGAGGTAGATCATTTGCACTGGAAACAAAGTCAAGATGATCCTTCATCAACCAATAAAATAATTTGATTAGAAAAAGAAAAAGAAAGAAACAAAGAAAAGAAAGCTGGTTATACACCATGTTTGCTTAAGTAAATGTTTTGGTGTCAATATATTTAGGCTCCGGCCCCTGTTTGCGCCCTAAATTATTAAAGGTCTCTATGTATACCCTATAAACTATTTTCTGTCCCATCTTCCCCCTTGAACTATTAAATTTGTCTCTGTTTATCTCCTAAAGTATTTTCAGTCCCACCTTACCTCCTAAACTATCACTTTTCTCTCATAAATTCATGAGGTAATGAACAAAAAGTTCTGACATCCTAAACTATCACTCATAAATCCGGTTAAATACCCACGAAGTAATGAATAAGAACTTGGAACTAGGCATTGAAAGTGGTTCAGATAGAACCCTTGCTACTTTTATCAGCAGAAAGTAGTTCAAAATGTTGTTTTTGGGGTTTTTTTTTTAGGGGGGGGGGGGGGGTGCAGATATAGCCTTTGAGGGCAAATAGTTTTAGAAACTAGAATGTGTCTTCGCTTGATACTCTGGTTAAAGGGGTTTAAACCGTGTGAATCACTCATGGGGTTTTTATTTGCTAACAAATAAATATGAGAGGTGAGAAGTTGCCGGACCCCATTTGTGCAAGGAGCATGTTTATTCTCGAAATTGTGCTTGCTTTCTGGTGATGATTGTCTCTTAAAATGGTAACAATGAGGATATTTGCTTTCCACTTGCATCGATACATGTGCCAAAGACTTGCTGCTTACAATCACAGTTTGTTTTATCTACCCTTATCCAAATTCCTTTGTACTATTGTATTTACTTCACAACATTTCTGTCACTAACATGGTATTTATTTACAGGCCAAACCGTGGGGGTTTCCAGCGTGGAACTGGGAGAGGTCGTGGACGAGGACAGGCACGTGGCCGTGGAGGCCGTGGTCGTGGAAGGAAGCCAGTTGTGAAATCAGCAGATGATTTGGACAAGGATTTGGACAGTTACCATGCTGAAGCAATGAACACATCATAAGGCGGAGGAGGGTTTTGATGTCCATTGCGACATTTGGCTAGCTTGTGATGTGGCATTTGAAGAAGTTAAAAGGAGATTGAAGTTGCAATTGGTGGCAATTTGGCTTTCTATTTTAGTTTTCAAGCTGAGCTTTCACTTAGATATGTTTCCCATCTGCTGTTCGAATGACTGCTGACAAGTAGGGGTGCATAAAACCCTCACAAACTTCTCTTTGAAAACCTTGTTGAGATGCTGTTGAGTAATTTGTGTGCTTGAGAGAACAGAATATTTGATAGTACCAGTGTTAGTTTGCATTGCAGTATGTACTTAAAATAGTGAGAGGTTTGTGGGTGAGATTGCCGGTTTGTTGGTGATTTTTCTGGAATGCTTCATCCTTTCACTTCAACCTACGCGCTGCAGAGCTTGTTACTTTATTCTGTTCCTTTCAGGCTGCTGCTTACATTTGCTTTGTGGAGCGTTGGTTGAATGCGACGGTTGCTTTGTAGAGTGTTAGTTGAATGCGACGATGTCCTATATTGGAGACTTCTATTCTATTTACCTTGAGATACAATCTGCTTGTGGCAGGCTACGGGAGGATTTGTCCAAGTTGTTCAGTGATGATGTTAGTATATTTTTATTGTACTGCTTGAATTTGAATTTTTCTGTTATTTTCTTCTGCAAGGGAGCTTCCTTGCTATTACCAGGGGTAAAAGGTGGATATAAATAAGCTAACATGAAATTTGATTAAGACTTCGTCGAGTTATGAAGTTGAAACTTTCTTGGTTTGTTCGGCTTGTTCGTGATATAATAAACTATAGGTCAGATTTTATGCAAGCAACCTAGGGATGGAAATGCCTTATTCGAATTCGAAATCGGCTCAATTAGCGATGTTCTTGTTCGAATTCGACTCGAATAATATTCAAAATTCGAATTCGTTTCGTTTAGTTGTGTTCGTGTTTGGTAACTATTCACGAACATTAGATTAACAATATTTCATATTTTGGTATAAAATTATTCATTAACTAAGTTGTTAAACTAAATGAATATGGAAATGCATACTCAAAAAAGTACACAGCTTAATTGCAAAAGGGTTTTTTTTACCTTTCTAGTGAGAAATCAAAGAATCACGGCACAAAATGTCCAAGATCTACAGAGATCGAGGGAAGTGAGCGTCGTCGCGGGGAGGGACGAGGGCCTCGTCGGAGAGGGAGGAGGATGTCGTCGCGAGGAGGGACGAGGGCGTTGTCGGAGCGGGAGGAGGGCGTCATCGCGGTCGTCGAGAAAACTATTTATATTGGGTTTATGAGATGAGAGATGGAGACTTGGGGAGTTCGGCTGCCTGATCTAGGGTTTATGAGATGGCAGAAAACTATTTATATTGGGTCATGAGGTGTTGGGAATAAATCTGAACCGTTCGTTGATGATCCAAAGAGACTGGTATGTGAAACCCTAGGTCCCTTAACATGTCTATTTATACATATGGGTAGAAGTTGTAATAAAAATTTTGATGGGTAATATTTACAACAAGTTTAGTTAATACGATTAACTAACATATAAAACGTTACCGAATAGTTAATAATCAGCCGAATCAAATATACCTTTAGTTAAATTCTATTAGTTTATTATAAGCCGAATACTGAAAAATATTCATTTAGCATTAAATGAACTGTCGGATCGAATATGACCGAATATCTGGACGAATATTAGCGGAACTGTTTATTAAATATTTGGTTCACTCCCACCCCTAGCAGCCAGCAAGAATCCCGATTTCTTGAGCATCCACAGGAATCGATGATGAGTATTCTGTCTATGCCTATTGTTGAATAAACAGGATTTTATTACATAAGTCCAAGATATCGGGGTTGCACGTGGCATATACGTATATCCTTCTTAATTAAATCATAGCTAAACCATAAACTTTATTACATGCAGTCACATTCGTCATGCTTATCCTAATCCAACCCTTGCTCGACTCCTGCGCTTCTGTTCAGCGACGAGTCGTTACCAGGCTGTTGGGGATGCGGAGAGCAGCCATTGTAGCAGTTGTAGCAATCCTCGGCGCACACAGACTCGCGCTGTTGGGGATGCGGAGAGCAGCCATTGTAGCAGTTGTAGCAATCCTCGGCGCACACAGACTCGCACGTGTTGAGCGTTTCGCCGCATTGATGGACGCATTGATTCTCGCATGATGATCGATCAGCAAAGCTCATGAGTAGAAGCACGATCATGACAGTTGCAATATTTACCGCAGTTGCATTTGTTGATGCTGTCTTCTTCTGGACGGCCATTTTTTTGCGTTAAAATAAATGGTGGGGGAGTTTGGGGTATAAATAAGGTTGGAATCATAGGGAAGTAGTCATGCGCTTCATGTCGCATTGTTGTTTTGTTGGGGTGGGATGCCAAGAATCAGGAGAACGCAATTTGCATGGGCAGAGGGAGAAAAAGTCATCAGGATTGTTGAAAACTCTTAATCCTACTCTTAAAAAGATTTTGTTAAATCCTAGCAAGAGGCCTTTCTTCTTAAATTAATTTGATTCACAACGAACATTCGCGCTCATAATTCTTACTTAATTGTTAGTAAAACAATATTGAAGGAGACAGAAATTCTGAGGCGTGAAACACTTTCCTTAAAGAAATATTTGCCCCCACTTGATATTCAAAGTTGCTTCGGGTTAATGCAAATTTTCTTCCCAGGATATAACAGAAAATGAAAATTCCAGTAAGCAAATCTGGAATTTTCCTTAATTCGTTGTGAAACAAGTTTGTAATATTGCAGAAGTTTTTGATAGAAACGATTCAGAGAAAGAAAATTGTTTTTGATATCTGAAAATATAAACTATTTATAGATTTTGAAAATGTGCTTCCAACAGTCACAACTTTTCAAAACCCCCCTTGGAACAACCAGCCACTTTTCAACAGTCACTTGTCTTTTCATAATTTTTTAAAATTCGAAATAACATTAAAAATAAAATATATTCAATATATAATTATATATATAAAAAATAGAACATTTAAGTGCGTCTAATAATCGCGCATTATTCGCGCTACCCGCACGCGGGTTTAGAAGCCTACACTTTGATCCATTATTCAAAGCCCAATAAGCATTCAATGCTTTTAAACCTCTAAAAGAATGTTCAAAATTCCAATGTGGGACTATCTTGTTTTTTACAAACAAATACTAACACTTCCGTTGAAATGTTTACGCTCAACTCTAGATGTTCGAACATTATGTAAACTGATGCACAAGTTGTATAGGTAAGAGCTAATTTTAACCGTGAGTGAGTAAATTACTAGGATATTTGTCCAAATAAATTTAATAATTCTAGGATATATATATACAACTCGATAATTCATCAAATCAAAGTTTATCAATCCAAACTTCAAAATTCAGGCTACATTTGGATGCCATGCTGACGAACAAAAGCATTTTTCCTTTTGAAGAAATATCTCATCGCGATAACATACTCTCTCTGTTCTTTCTCTTAACAAGTATGTGTTTTAATTTGTAATATTCGAGAATTGTGAAATACAAAACACTTCGTCATATGATGTATATCGTTGGAATTGAAACATTGATAAAATTTCAGATGTCGCTGCTGCTATGTTACTAATTCTGGTAGATTTTTTGTGCAGTATAATGATAAGCATATCTCAAAAAAGAAAATATATAAAATAGGAAAATGAGAAAAACATGAGTCCGCAAAAGATGAGTTAACTAGCTAGCACCCAACAAAAGGTATAGGTTGTGAGTTTGTTAATCAGTCTGAATTGTTAGTTTGAGTCCAAGTTATTAGATAGAATTCTAGTTATGGTAGAATACTAGTTAGTGGATAGATTTCTAGTTATTGGATAAAGATTAGAGTTGTAATCTTATTCCTATATATATGTAAACAATCTTTTTGAGTTGTAGAACGTGAATAAAATCAAGAGAGAAGTTCCTGCTCCATCCGGCTTGTGTTCATCAACAAAACAGAGACTTAAAGAAAAGCTCCCAGCAGAACACGTTCTCTATTCTTTGGTGTTCAATCTCTCAAAAATCAGCCAGGTTATTTTTCTTTACAGGTTTGCTCATAGGTTACAGGTTTTGTGTTTTTTGGCTGATCCTGTTTCAGAAGCCTACAAGTGGTATCAGAGCCGTGTATGCCTAAGTTTCAACCAAGATCTGAAGAGATGACGAGTTCGGAGAAGATGACGACTAAGGTGGGTTCTCTCACTCTTCAATACCCGACGCTATCGAGGGATAACTATGCTTCGTGGGCAATCAAGATGAAAGTCTACATGAAGGCTCAAGACGTGTGGGACGCCATTGAGCCAGCGGCAGGCGTATCCGTGGAACACAGGAAGGATCAGATGGCGTTGGCGGCCATCTACCAGGGGATTCCTGAAGAGACTTTGATGGTGATCGCAGAGAAGCAGACGGCAAAAGAGGCATGGGAGACGTTGAAAACAATGCATCTAGGAGCGGATCGTGTGAGGAACGCGAAGGTGCAGACCTTGAAGTCCAAGTTCGAACTTCTCCGGATGAAGGAGAATGATAACGTCGACGATTTTTCGACGAAGTTGACAGGAGTCGTCAACAAGATCCGGGCTTTAGGCGGCGAGATGGAGGAGAACTACGTCGTCAGAAAGCTACTTCGGGCGGTACCGGAGAGATTCCTTACTATCGTCTCCACGATTGAACAGTTCGGGGACATCGACAACATGACACTCGAGGAGGCAATCAGGCGTCTCAAAGCCCACGAGGAGAGAGCACGTGGTTTTCGAGACAACGTCGACAACCACCTACTCTTGACGCATACGGAGTGGCAAGCAAGGGCCAAGAAAAACAGCGGGGGTTTCCTCTCAACACAGTCAACAAATGATGGTAGTGGACGAGGTTGCGCTCGCGGAGCCGGTCGCGGGCGTGGCCGCGGCCAAAGGGGCCGAGGCGGCCAGCAGCACCACGGCAGCGGACAGGGAGGTCACGCTGCCCTGGTTGGCCAGGCGGGCCGCGGAGGGGAGCACGGCGGCCAGGCAGGCCGAGGCGGCTTCGGCGGCAGAGGAGGACGTCCAGGAGGTGGTTTCGGCCATGGAGGTGCAGCTTAGCACAAGCGGTGGTCGAGACAAATCAAACATCAAATGCTTCAATTGCGGAGTATACGGGCATTTTCAGTCGGAGTGTCACAAGCAACGCCGCAATCACGAACAGGAGGCTCATCTCACCCGTGCATATGACGAGGAGCCAACCTTGATGATGACTATTTTAGAGGAATCATCAACTGTCATCCTACTCAATGAGGAGAAGGTGGTGCCAAACTTACTCACAGCGGGGGAGGCACAAGTTGCCAACGATGTTTGGTACCTTGACAACGGAGTTAGCAATCACATGACCGGCCACCGAGACAAATTCAAGGAGCTCGACGAGAACATTACAGGAACCGTCAAGTTTGGTGATGGATCCGCGGTAGAGATCAAGGGGAAATGCTCTATCCTCTTTCAGTGCAACAACGGCGATCAAAGGCTACTACCTGAGGTATATTATACTCCGGGCTTGAAATCTAACATTATTAGCCTTGGTCAGATGACTGAAGATGGGAGTAAGGTTGTTAT